AAATATAATGCATATAAGACATGTAATTATGGTAAGCAGTAATGACATGTGAGCAAGATAATTGTAACTTTTAGAATTTGTCACAATCACACCATATTTTATCCATTTTTTATTTGCATTGTCCAATTGGTCGTCTCCTTCTTAGGTTAAGCGTCTCTTAAACTAGAAAATACATATCGCATTGTCAAACTCAAGCACATGGTGAGAGTTTGTCTTTGTTTGTGCGTCAACTAAGGCCTTATTTAATATTTCTAATTATACTTGACTGAATATTAATTTAGTTGTGACTTCTCTCTCTCTTTGATTGAATAAGTTATAACACATTTGGTAAGTCAACAGAATCAACACTTTAATTGGTAAGTTTTTGGTTTTTTTAAGTAGTTAGTTGATTGTCTTCGCTCGATTTGTCGTCATATGTCTCTATCTTTGACCACCATCTCATGCGAGAGTCCATTTATGCCATCAGATATGATCAAGTCATTGAATAGCATTTTCACTCTCTAGTTTTGCCATTAGATTATTATAGTAAGACTCAATCATGCCATACATTGGAAAATTTAAATCATACAAAATCCTTAAGTTGAAAATTAGTTGATGAAACTAATTATTTTGATTGCAATAATAAAGAAAAAAATTTACTAACCCATGTTAAAGACTTATTTTCTCTTGTCCATATTTTTGAATTGTCTCATAAAATTTTGTGTAATGTGTCGAATATAGAACACATGCATAAAATTCTCTGATGTCCACCCACTGTCAATTCTAGAGTACACACTCTTAATTGACTCGTGTCTATTTGAGATCAAGTAAAGACCATTTTTAGGTGTGACACGTCTTTTCACCTTCAACAATTACAAATGCTTATTGGAAGGATATTGTTGTTTCCATCTTGTGCAATTGCTACTAGTAGAGTGCATCTATACTTTTCATACATCTAAGTACCATCAACTTGAACAATGGGCTTGCAATAGTTAAACCCATCAATACATGATTTGAAACTCCAAAATAATTTATGTGATTGAACGAAACTCTTGACTAATTATCCTTATTGGTTGTATAATGGCTTTGCCTATCTCTTTATAACTATACTTGAAAGGTATTCTTTCATAGCTATTATCAATTTGGGTACATCATTGTACAATTTTTCTGAATTTCCATATATATGTTCAATAACCTTTTGCTTAGCCTTCCATGCTTTTTTGTACATCATACTGTAGCCTTCAACATTTTTTTATGCGCTATCAATGTTGGCATTGAAAATGGATGGATCACTTTCAATCAATGGGCAAACACTTTTGCTTATCAGGAAATGACCTAGCTTGGCATGATCATGTGTGATTACACGACTTGAACATCTATATGGTGTAGCAAGCTTTTGAATCTCTCATTTTTTGCTTTATTTCAACAAATGTTGCCTTGCACCCGCTGGTTGTCAATGCATTTTGCAATAAGTTGGGTTAAATTACTTACCACAATTTTGTAGTTGACTCCATTTTTCACATGATTCATGGCCAAAATATGTTTGACATCTTCTTTGGTTTCAAAAGACATCATTTCATACAGGACTTTAGTGTTGGAAGTGTATTCGCAGTCAAATAAATGATCGTATTTAACATTTGCAAAATTTGTTTCCAAATCAATATTTTACATGTGTGGAGGAGAATGGTATGCATTTACGATAGCCAAAGGGCCTGCTGGCTCAAGTCGTCCATAATTGTCATGGTCATCACCATCTTGTGAGTCATCTTCTTCATGTGATTATTGGAACAAAAGTTCATCTTAATCATCATCACTAAAGGGATTGAGTTCTTTATTTGGTGTTCCAATCTCTACACAATCTCCACAACATGATCCCCTTATGGTTCACTTATTGGGTTTACATTTACTAGAGGGGTACTAAAGAATGCATGTAGTACATCAAATCAAGTGAATGTGATGATACAAAATTGTTGGGAAAAGGAATTGGGTGAAAGAAGATGTATTTGGATCAAACATATTTTGTTGTGATTGAAAAAAAAATATTCAAAGCAAAAGGAGAATAGTCTTACCTTTAAATTATTCTATGCAATTTTGCTTCTGTTTGAATTAATTTTACATGCATTACCTTCATTTTGTTTTTTCAAAATAATGTTCTACAATCTCTCGTCCATTAGGTTGTCATATTCATAAATATTTGCAAATTAAAATTACTAGAAATTATAATAAATAATTAAATAAATACTCATTTAATAATAGGATGTAAACAAGTAATAAAATACTTGTATTTTTGAAATCATTTAAAATAATTTTAATTATATAAATTAATTTTGTTTAATTTATTTTTTCTATAAGTATATATCAGTTATTTTTTTAAGTAAAAATATGTTTTTAAAAATTATTTTTTGATATAAATATATTTTTTAAATTAGTTTAACTCCAAAATCACCTCACTTATATAATATAAAGTTATATTAATTAAATTATAACTTGGAAAAAAAAATTAATCTCGAAGATATTAGTTAAACTCATAATACAAATGTTTTATGTCTTACAAAAAGCATGTGTCTACCAAAAATGAAATTTTACCAAATAAAAAAAGCATGTGTACGTCAATAACTAAATGTTTGCGGGAAGAAAGTATTTGGAAAACCTAAAACAAAAATTGTTTAATACACATTGACATAAAAAAAATCATAAAACACAGAATATTAAAGAAAGCAAACAAAACTAATAAAGGAAATTCAAAATGAAAAAAGTTAGGAAACTCAGATATACATTTTCGTCCATTTTTGGATGAGAGTGATTGACCCACAATCACTTGTAAGCATCATCATAGTTTCCATGAATCTGCACCAGCCGGGAATCGAACCCGGGTCTGTACCGTGGCAGGGTACTATTCTACCACTAGACCACTGGTGCTAGATGTTTGTCTAAGTACCAATTAAATTAGATCTAAATTAGATTTCCAGCCCAACCAACCTTTTCCTTTCTTTTACTTTAACTAATAATTTTAAGTTTAAATTTTTTATATATACTTATGTAACTCTGTTGGTAAATATTTAGAAAAAAAAAAAAAAAAAACTTTTCCATCATATTAGTCCTATCTAATTTACATAGGATTGTAAAAAATATAATGTATTGATAATTTTGTAAAAAAATCATTTAAAATAACAAAAAGTAAAATAAAATTAGTTTATCAACCAAATGTAGTACTTAACCCCTAATTACACAGACCTAGCTAATATAGTTTGTAGTCAAACAAGTACTCTCTCGATTTGATCACAAATTCACAATAAGTATTATTAATCTTCTTTTTAAAAAAAAAAACATTGTAACATAATATACTAAGGATTATTAATAAATTAAAGATATACATATATATATATATATAAAGATAATTAATATTACATTAAAATTAAAATACCACTTTTAAAAAATCATATTATATTTATTATAAAATAGAAAGAATATAGATATACTATTAATGAAAATAATACACATTTTGATAACCGTCTCTTTGATGACAATTTTACTTGAATAAATTTGATCCTATTTTCATTTTTGTAATTTTTTAAATTATTTATAAATAACTATTTTACATCTATAATTGTTCAAAATTATTTAGACTCTTCAATTATTAATTGCTTGTTTATATTTGTTCTGGCCAAAGGGTGAACTAGAGTTTTTTCCTAGGTTGAGCCTTAGAGCCAGAGCATTTAAAAGTGTAATCTGCCCTCTTAACTCTAGGGTTTTAGGTTTTATACTTTTCTGTTCATGAGCTTTTTGGGCCTTGTGAGCGCGAGGATTTCTATAACGGTTTTCCTTGGGAATATTTGATTATCAAAGATAGGATTTTTATCCTTGATTCTCGGACTAGTCCAAGGGATGAAACCCACTCGGATTTTGGCCGACCACACCCTGGTCAGGCTCACCATGGCCGACCACACCCTGGTCGAGCTCACCATGGCCGACCACATCCTGACCGAGCTCACCATGGCCGATCTCACCTAGGTCGAACCAACTCCCGTGGCCGGATAAGATCGATCTTTTCCCGAGTGTCGCCACGTGGCAGGTGTGAAGCGGGTCTCGATTCCTTTCCTACGAATTGCATTGGAAATAGGCCGAGACGGTACAATATTTAACTTCAATTATTTATATTTAAAATAAAATACATGAAAGAACGAAATACATATTTATTTTATAATAAAAAATAGCTCATATACAATCAATTGATATAAGAGTTAATAATCAATACACTACTAATGTAAAGTTTTTTATACTGACAACCAATGATATTTTTTTAAGTTGTTTATTTTATTTTTATTTCATTAAATAAACAACTAATATGATACTATTAAAAAATATAATTAATTATCAGTGTAATAATATACACTAATTGTGTATAAGTGATTAACACTTCATATAATACCGCATCTACACAAGTTTTGCGGTCTAAGAGCCCATACTTAAAGAAATATGAGTCGTTTACTACATGGATCTTTGAATCTATTCAAACTAAATTAATTAAATATACACGCGTGAGTTATAATGTTATTTATTGATATTTTTCCTTTAATTTGAAGCATTGTATTTGTATATTGACTTTGTTTGGTTAGAAGACGGGCTTTTCATATTATTTTACTTTATAAAAAAAAAAGAGCAACAAATAAATATTATTAAAAATAAATAAATAACAGTAAGGATTGAGTTTTCAACAAATGTTAAAATAAAATACGTTAGTTTTTATTATTTTTTTATAGTTTTGTGAATGGACACTCTCTTGTTTTATAGTATCTGGGTTTGTTTAGGTGCATGTATATCCTATTGTCTTCTGAAATTTATTTTTCTCTAGAATATTTTTGTGTACAATTGGAGTTATTTTTTTTTTTGCTTTGCATAGCCACACAAAACAACCTATAGAAGTGATCCACGATGACACACTCTCTATCTTGCATACCAAACACGTACCCAAAGCAAAGCAAAGTACAATTCCAATTCCTTCACGCAATGCATCAACCTATTTTTATCTCTTACATTCCCACACAAAGCGATATACACGTAAGGGAAGATAAAAAAAAATAATAAATAAAAAAAAACATGTCTACAACATCGGATTCCAATGCCACTGTAGTGGAAGAGTGTCGTGGCGTTCTTCACGTTTATAGCGACGGTTCCATAGTACGCTCCTCAGTTTCAAGCTTCAACGTTCCTGTCCACGACGAGGGCACCGTTTTATGGAAAGACGTCGTTTTCGACTCTTCCCATGATCTTCAGCTTCGGCTCTACAAGCCAGCCGACTCAGCCGCCTCCAACCTTCCCGTTTTCTACTTCTTCCACGGCGGCGGCTTCTGCATCGGCTCACGCGCTTGGCCTAACTGGCTAAATTATTGCTTTCGGCTCGCTTCTCAGCTTCGAGCCGTAATCATTGCCCCGGATTATCGGCTCGCTCCTGAGAATCGGCTCCC